ATGTCTATATGACGTGCCCTGCGCCCACTTGCTACTACACCCTCGTGTAAACTGTGCTGACCTTCTCTCTTCTCTCATCATCAGCTAGCTCCACAATCCACTTACACCAACTTCGCTTCTCCTTCAGAGTTTCACCAGCCTCCAACGCTCTCGAGCTTCTTCACTACCAGAAGCTCCCTGTACCCCTCCCCTCTCCTCCTCTCGGTGCCTCCTCCCAGGCACCCGGCGCAGCACCTCCCCGCTCCTACTCCGACATGAGCTCGGGCAGCTTGAGACAGGCCGCTGAAGCCGCGAGAACTCGCTCCTCTGAGGTTATGGGCCCCGCCAAGAACGAGACGGTCGCCGTGGCCAACGACTTCCTCCACTCTCCTCTCGTCCGCACAGCCCTGCCCTTCATCAATGGAGGCATCAGCGGCATGGTCGCCACCACTGTCATCCAGCCCGTCGACATGGTCAAGGTCCGTATCCAGCTCGCCGGAGAGGGTCTCGCCGGCGGCCCCAAGCCTGGCCCCCTCGCCGTAGCCCGTGACATTGTGGCCTCGGGCAAGGTCCTCGACCTGTACACTGGCCTCTCGGCCGGTCTTCTACGCCAGGCCGTCTACACCACGGCGCGCCTTGGCTTCTTCGACACTTTCATGGGCAAGCTCACCTCCCGCGCCAAGGAGCAAGGCCGTTCCATAGGCTTCTCCGAGCGCGCCACCGCCGGCCTGTCCGCCGGTGCCATCGCCGCCATGCTGGGCAACCCCGCCGATCTGGCTCTCATTCGCATGCAATCCGACGGCCTCAAGCCCCTTGCCGAGCGCAAGAACTACAAGTCAGTCATTGATGCTCTTTCAAGCATCGCCAAGTCCGAAGGTGTCACGGCCCTCTGGTCTGGTGCCGCGCCCACCGTCGTCCGCGCCATGGCTCTCAACTTTGGCCAGCTCGCCTTCTTCTCCGAAGCCAAGTCGCAACTCAAGCAGAACGCCGGTTCAACCCTGAGCCCCCAGGCCCAGACCCTCGCCGCCTCGGCCATTGCCGGTTTCTTCGCCAGTTTCTTCTCCCTGCCCTTCGACTTTGTCAAGACGAGGCTGCAGAAGCAGTCGCGGGGGGCCGACGGCAAGCTCCCCTACAAGAGCATGGCCGACTGCTTCGTCAAGGTGACCAAGCAGGAGGGCATCCTGCGGTTCTACCGCGGATTCGGAACCTACTACGTGCGCATTGCGCCGCATGCGTAAGTCATCTTGGCTCGAAAATATTGTAGTCGGAAGCTAACGTTTGACTCTTTGTAGCATGGTAACGCTCATTGTGGCCGACTATCTCGGCTGGGTAACCAAATAAACGGGGCGAGCACTAGAAAAGAGAGAGCGAGGTCTCGCGTGACGGCGCGCTGCCGTTGCGCGCATGCTGTGCTGGGCGATTTTGGGTTTCTGTCGTTTTTCTTTTGTTTCCTTTGGGCGCTGGAGGAGCATCACAACTGGAAGGAAGGAGGGCTGACTTTGACGAGTTGATTATACCAAGAAGAGAAGACTAAGGCGAGAGGACGGCATGCATGCATGTATGTATGCCCTCGACAGACGCGAAGCCGGGCTTGGTGCGCAATTGATCACCAGTATTGATTACCACGTGCCGGATACCGTGAACAAAGTGTGTACTCGTGAGCCAGAACTCGTCATGATGTAGGACAGGTGGGGAGACCAGCGTGGTGACACAGCCTGCGGGGCCCCACACACCCCTCCACCGACGACGAGCTGGAGGGGCGGGGGAGCAAGTACATCACATGGTCTCCAACAGGGTATCGAGACATGAACCTCGCCATCCATCATCCAAGACACAACAGGCGGTACCGGTGCCGAGGGGGTTCTGCAAGGCAAGGCCGGGGCACTCTCAACATCTATTAGAGGAACGCCTTGGCTGGCTGACTGGCTGACTGGCTGTCCGCCTTCGTCTCTCAACGTATTCTGTAGTCTTACAAAAAAGGAGGGGGCATCCCACAGCCCTCTGGTGCACGCATACCCTCCGCTCCCTGCTCGCCGCTCGCTCATGCCGATGCTTGCTCATTGCACGCGCTTGCTTTTGCACGCGCCGGCTGACCCAAACGCAGAACGCAGCCTCTCCCGCGCTGAAGCTCCCTACACCCAGACCCAAGACCCCTAGTCCTGACTGGCGCTCAGGTTCATGTTCTTCTCCCACAGGTTCCTCAGCAGCGCGTTGAGCCCCTCGCCCGCCGCGTCGTCGTCCTCGCCGCCGACGAGGCTCGATCCGCTGAGCTGTGTCGTCGTCCCGCCGCCGCCGCCACCGTCAGCGTCAAAGCTCGATCCGGCGCCCGTGCTGCGCAGCGTCCGCACTGATTGCGCCCGCGGCGTGACGGGTCTGCTGTGGCTGTTGCCCGTGCCCGTCGCGCTGGCGGCGCCGAGGCTGACGTTGCGCGCGTGGCCGGCGCCGGCGGGGCGCAGGGCGGGCGGTTTCGATGCGACCATGAGGCCGTTGCGCCCGTGCGGGATGCGCTGGGGTTTCTTGGCGGCCTGGACGGCGGCGGCGATGCGGTCGAGCGAGCGGACGACGGGGTTCTGGTAGCGCCGCACGCTGAGGTACTCCATGCCCGTGCGCTCGAGCTGCTTCGCGACGCGGGGGTCGCGCGACGTGCCGCCGTCGTGGCCCGGGTTGGCGACGGCCACGAGCGGCGTCGCGCCCACCGTGTTGAGACCGCCGAGCGACATGCCCATGCCCATACCCATGCCCATGCCGAGGCCCATTGTCGACATGCCGCCTGCGTGATGGTGCGCCGAGCTGTGGGTGCTGGTGGAGGAGGGCTCAATGACGGAGCTGGCGCGCTGTAGGTTGAGCTTCTGCTGCACGCGGGACTGGGGGGCGTTGCGGCGCGCGTTGCGCGGGGCGAGGGCGCTCGTGTCGTCAATGTCGCTGTTGCCTGACGCCGGCGTGCGGTTGGACGACGTCGTAGAGAGGGCGCGGTGCGGCGTGTCAGGGGCCGCGTCGGAGCGGCGGCTCGTGGGGCGGGACGGGTCAGGATGGTAGAAGGAGGAGTTGCGCGTGTTGCCTGAGCTGGCGGCGCCGACGAAGCGCGACGTCAGCTCGTCACCGCCGGCGCTGCCTGCGGCGTTCACGCTGTTCGAGTCATCGTCGAGCGTCGACTGGCGGCCGAACGAGTCGGTCGACCGGTTTCGCGAGACGGGCTCTGCGGTGTCATTGGTGATCTGTGGCGGCACGACGCCTTGGGAGGGCGTTCGTTGCAGAAGGCGTGAGGTGAGGTACTCCTTGTGCTGCAGTGTTTGCCGGTCCGGCGTCGACATGACGGGCGGTGAAGGGGGCGAGGGTGGGGAGGCCTTGTCTGCTGGTGTGTGAGGCCGCGATCCTGTGCCGGCCGAGGAGCCAGGCTTCGCGGACCCCTGACCACTGGCCATTGATCCGCGACGGGACAGGTACGGCGAGGCTGAGCCGCTCGCGTCGACCCATTCGTCCTCCTGGCCGTCACTGCCGAGGTCGAAATGCACCTGCGACTTGGTCGAGGCCTTGACCTTGTTGACGGCGGGGTTGGAGGCGGTGCGCTTGAGCTTGTCGGACGACTTGGTACGCTTGTGGGCGACCTCGACATGGGACCTGTTGCGGCGCAAGCTCGCCGCAGAGGTGTTGCTCTTCAGGTTGGAGGAGGAGCTGTCGCGCGACAGCTTGGCTTCGGACTGGACTCGTCGGTGGCCTGGTTTGGTGGGTCGCTCTGTGCGATCGCGATCACGCTCTGGTTCTGGTTCTGGTTCTGGTTCTCGTTCTCGTTCGCGCTCTGGAGAGGGTGAGTGATGGCGGCGCTGGTTGTTGAGTTTGAAGGCGTGCGCCGTGTTCTGCTGCTTGTGTAGAGCCTTGGAGGAGGGGATTCGGGCGTGTAGCCTGCCACCGCCGACGACGTGCTTCTGGTGGTGGTGGTGGTGCTTGGGGCGGTGATGGTGTTCTCGTGTGGAGGATGTGCTGTCCCGGGTGTGGTCACTTGTCTGTGAATAGTCACTCGCATCTCGGTGTCGGAGGGATGGGCGTTTTGATTGGCTGGCGGAAGAAGCGTCCTGGCCATCGTCGCCATTTCTGTCGGCTTCGTGAGGCATGGCTGGCTGGCTGGCTGGCTGTGGCCGGCCGGCTGGCTGCTGCAGTCTGTGTGGGCGTCTCTCGTCTTTGGTGAGCAAGAGCCTGAGCCCTCTGCCTAGCCTACCTTAGGTAGGGGGGGGGGTGCGGCCTGAATCGGATCCAGGGGTGTTGTGTTGCAGCCAGTCGCAGCGAGCGTCGGTGTGCAGGCCTGCAGAAGGTAAGATTTGGTGTAACCGAGGGGCGTTCTCAATGAGTTGGTCAGAAGGCGCGGTTCAATGGCGAGGGGGTAGGAGACGAAGGAGGGATGAAAAGATGGAGGAGGTATTCAGAATGGTCACAGCACGAGAGATTGAGAATGGAATGGAGGTTTGGGTTTAGTTTAGTTTGGCCAGGTGCTCTGGGGTTCCTCCTTCCTCCCTCCACTCGGGTCCTACCTGCCTGGGCTTGGGCTCATTGCTGAGGCCCCATCGTGCCGAATGCCAATTTACAATCCAGCGCCGGTGGAGTGCCGGTGCCGTGCTGGTGCCTTCCCAGAGCCGCCCGCAGCCGACATCTACAGGCCTGGCACGCTGTCTGGAGTACTCGCTACCTACCTAGGCAAGACTAGGTAAGCAAGGCAAGGCACCTAAGTAAGGTAGGTGGTAGGTACCATGTACCTTGCCTACAGCAGTGCTGATTAGCTATACTCCGATTGGTCCACGGCCATCCTTGGCTTATCGGCACGTGATGACCCCCCAGTGACGCAAGTGGAAGGCCCTGTGGCCAATGGATCGCCCAAGCCTTGAACTCTGGCGGCATCAAATATTCTAGCCGATTGCCATCACCAGCCAGCCAAGGCATCTACCGACAGCCTTACCATCCAGAACGCCGTATACTCAACATCCTTTGACCGGCCCTGTTTCACCCGCCATAGACACCCGAACATAGCCATCATGGCGAGCCAGATTGCTGCCTACGAGGAGGACCGAAAGGCCTACCAGGAGCAGGTCCGCATCTCCCGTCCATGAACAAGCCCTGATCGCGAGCTAATGAATCTTCCCCGCGCAGCTCGATGTCGTCGTGGCCGGCCTCAGCGACGATCCCGACAATGCGGAGCTGAAGAATCTTCAGGCGGAGTTGCAAGAAATGATCTCCCTGATTGACGAGTCCCTTGCTGAACTCAAGCCCAAGCAGGCACCCCAGCCAGCTGCGCCCGTGAAAGCCCCCACGCCCACGCCGCCCGAGCCGGAGAAGTGGTCGCGCGAGAACCACCCGGCCTTCAAGAAGACGACGACGACTGCCGCCGCCGCCGCCGCCGCCGCCCCTGCGCCGCCAGCCGAAGACGAGGCAGCCGCGGCCCAGGCCACGTACAATGTCAACGACACGGTCCTCGCCAAATGGGTCACGGGCGACAAGGGCTTCTACCCGGCCCGCATCACGTCCATCACGGGCTCGTCGACGGCGCGCGTCTACATTGTCAAGTTCAAGAGCTACGACACGACCGAGACGCTGCGCGCCAAGGACATCCGCCCCGTCTCCAACAAGCGCAAGGCTGACGGCACACCAGCAGCAGCAGCAGCAGCAGCGGCCGCCGCCGCCACAGCCTCCCCCGCGGCGTCGTCCTTCGCGGCCGCGGGGTCCTCGGCCAGCCACAACGGCATCGTGACGTCGGCGTCGGCGAGCATCTACCCGGAGCAGCAGGCGCGGCTCGACGCCGAGAAGCTGGGCGGTGACGCCGTGGCGAAGCCGCCCAAGGCGAAGAAGATCAAGGCCAACAAGGAGCTGGAGAAGGGCAAGAGCAAGTGGCAGGAGTTCAGCAGCAAGTCCAAGTTTGGCAAGACGCAGAAGAAGGACAGCATGTTCCGCACGCCGGAAGGCGTCCACGGCAGAGGTATGTCCTTGGGTTTGACTGAGGTGACCAAAGATGCAGTGCTGACAGGAAAAGTGGGCTTCACCGGCTCTGGCCAAGCGATGCGCAAGGATCCCACGCGCAGTCGGCACGTGTACCAGCAAAACGAGGAAGTCGAGTAGCGGCCCTTTGCGCAAGGGGTCCAGAGCGGTTGCATATTCCATGGCGTCTGGCTTTTTGTTCCTTTTTTTCATTTTTTTCTTCTGAATGGCGGCGTTCAGAGGGCTGATGGTTGCATTCCTTACCGGTAAATCGCCTCTCTCATTCTATGCGGAGGCTAATTTATGCGTGCTGTGCGGCCAGATCAGGCTTGGCTCAGGGGGGCCGCCTGCGTAGATTGCAGGTAGGCGGGATACGCAGACGGCAGACGGCACGGCAGATGGAAGCTCTGTCCTGTAAATCGTTCGAACAGGGGATACCATGATTCATTACACTTTGTCTATGCACTTGTCCGCCCTTTTCGCAGTTGATACATGGTGATACATGGTGATACATGGGATTATATAGGCTTGGCCTATTGTGTCACCCAGAGTGTCATCTCGACATGTTGAGCTTCGCAGCAACATCCTCGGCCATTTTCACAAAGACACGGGCGCGCTCGCTCGTGGGCTCGGCCACGACGGTCGGCTTGCCCCTGTCGGCGTCGTCGCCAATGGCCGGATGCAGCGGCACGTCGGCGAGGAACTCGATGGCGTGGTCGCGGCACATGGCCTCGACGCGGTGGTCCGTGCCGAAGACGTTGGTGCGCCCGGC